ATTTAAGTGAAAATTACTTTAATTTTCAAATTTTTGTTTTCACCAATCAATTTTAATTTGTTTTTAATTTTGATTTAAGTAACCTATGCGCTTCACTTATATAAAAATTAAATCAGATAACCACACTCAGAGATGTTACACGTTTAATCAGCTGATCAATATACACACACTACAGTTTTATGTATCTGCTGCTTACTTGTATACCAGCCCTGCATTTACAACAAAGCGTGCCAAAGCTTTCAAAAGCTGTCAGTGCAAATGAAAGCTTTCGCTGGTCTAGTCTGTTTTAAAACCACTTTTGACATACTTAAATAAATAGCTTATTGAAACCGAAAATAATTTAAATGAGAATTAAATAAAAATACGTTAAAGTAAATTTCCACTTAAATGAGTTTGGAGAATCGCAGCCTTATAAGAGTTGCCAAATCAAACATATAAATATCTACATATAAAAAAAATTTTGCTTTTAAACTAGTAATATTATTCATAGTTTTCAAACGTTGGAGAAATACCCTAGTTCTCAGCTTAACCTCAAGTTGAGGTCAAATCTAAATATTTGCTCCGCATCGTTTACGAATTTCTAGGGCTATTCGCGATCCGGTGCAAATTGCCTAGCATCATTGCACGGCAAATTTGTATTGCAAATTATTTGCAATACACAAACAAAACACACGCATTTGCATTTGTCATGGCTTGACAAATTTGCAATACCGAAAATCCATAGCATAAAAATGCTATGCATTGCAACACTGGTTGACATTTCTATCACCTGATTAAATTCATAAACAAAACCAAAGCTGATGCACAAAAAAGAAAACGTAAAGCAAAATGGAAACTAGAATTATTGAAAGGAAAATAAAAAGAGAAAAACCCAACAAAAAATTGACGTTTATTAGCAACCATTTTTGAATCAGCCGTGAAATTCTTTTGCAAAAGTTTTACCATGACAGTTTAATAAAGGTCGCTCACAATCCATGGCATATTTCTGCAATTGCATAAATTTGTCAGCTCTTATGGACTGAATCGCCCTACTGTTCGAATAGGGTAAAATCATGAACCAAAAATACAAAATCATGTAAGAACGCGACCATGTTCTTGTAATTTATTTTGAGAAAAAAGTTTGTGAATGCCGGTTCGTCAGCTGAGCATTTGTTTACATCACAGGCACCCCTATTTTACACTTTTCTTTAAGTAAAGAAGAATTTATTCAACATGACAACTCGTTTCAAAGCATTTTAATGAATCATTGTAACTAAATTGTGTGTTTAAAATGGCTGACAATAAATTTAGTTAATTCTGGATTTTCGTGTTTTCTTTGCTTTGTTTACTTTTCGTTCGGTTTTCTAGAAGAAAGACGGCGTAGAACCCGCTCAAAAAATCGACTTTTAGCACTCTCTTTTTCAACATTAAAACCCACAAATTTTTTTTTTATATTTATATTAACACATAAATAACTAATAAATTAACAATTCAAAGTTTCTCTAAGCACAAGTCAAACAAGTTAATAGTACATCGCATTGCATAATTATAAGACCGCCACATATTAAAAAGTTTTGACTATTTATTTTGAAATTATTTAATTTTCATTGTGATACTTGCAAAAGTCGTTTGTTCTTCGTCTTTCGTCAAAGTTCGATTATAATTTTGTATCAACGCTATACCTCGTTCAGGAATATCATTAACATATTTATTACTCTTAATCGTCTCTAAGACAACGAATTTCAGGATCATCTTTTAGAGAATTTAATGCCCTACAAGAATATGCCCAGAAAAACCGTGTATCCCTTTATTATAACTTTTTTAACGGTTAAAAGTTATAATTTTTAATGAAAACAAATTTGTTTGCATGTTACTTACACAGAAAATTTCAAATGCCCACCGACACCTTTTAAATAAAAATTTTTCCAAATGGGAGAATTTCCTTCCCATTAAAAAGGTCATGTTAGGGCCATAAACTCGCAAGGTTAGTTATTAAGGATGACCCTACTATATACCTATATATATATACATATATATATAGGATTACTCGTTTAAAGTAATAAGAATAAAGGGCCGTTTACATAAGACTTTTCTCGCTTTGCTTGACAGCTCGAACTTTGACAACAAAGCGTGAAACGTAGAAGGTATGCTACAATAAACGCTTTGACAGCTTTTGCGTTGTCATTATCCTCCATATTTTATATCTGTAAATTAGATAACAATATAATAATATGCACTAATAATAGCAATAATAGTTCCTATTTTCCTTATTTTCCGTCATTAAATTTAAATGCAAGCGCACGAGAAAAGATCCAAGTAGACGGCTGATTGCCAAAGCGCGCAAAAGTTGAGAGTTGCCGAAGATTTTGCTTCGTTTTGCTTTCCTCGCATCTATTTAGCAGGACTCGTATAAAATCGTGTATTGAACTTATCTGTCAAAGCTGAATTATGAAGCAAAGCGAAGCAAAAGTCGTATGTAAACGGCCCTTAACAGGTCTATTCTGCACGTTACCGAAGATGTTTTAAACCGGAAAATTGTATCACCAAAAAATGTTACCAGTTCTTGTCACCACGATTCTACATAGGAACGTTGGTAATGCAGTTAAAATATTCAGCAATTCAGCTATGGAGAATAGTGCAAATCCTGGCATTTCATACTTCACGGGGCAATAATTTGTTACCAGCTTATGAGATGGTAACAAAATTTACCGGTTACAAGAGTATACAGAATACGAAAAAAAATTTACAGGAACTTTATTTACCGGTTACAAACTTTTTATTATCAGTGCAGAATAGACCTGTAAGTGGGAAAATTTCTCGGAAAACACCCCCAAAAAAAGTCTGTAGCCGCCGTTGGGCCTGTGTTATTTTTGATTATGTACTTGGACGCGAAATAACACATTTTCTAAACATTTTTAAGCATATTTGCAGTCCAATGCAACGAACATAATTGTTTTAAGCCATCTTACAAATACTTTTATCAAGATGAAAAATGCCCACACACAAATATTGCCACTGATAAAACTTATACATATTTAGCAAACAAAATGACATATGGTAGGCAATAATTCTCAACTGTGAAGACGCGTTGTTAGATGATCTTCCAGTGTTATAAAGGATAATACGGCTTTCCCACGCCACCGTTAATTACTTTGTTCGCTCTTCCAATTACGATCGCGAATTACCCCATTCCCACGTGTGCATTTTTAATTCCATTTGACGATTTGACAGTTCTTTATTTCTGTATTTTGTTTTTTTTTCTTCGCTACAAAAGTTATGCAAAATGCAAATTATTGCTAAAAATGTATGTATAAGTTTCCGTATTAAATTGGTGATGCACACATATATATAGACTTTACTTTTCGCACTCAGAAAAAGTGCCAGTTTTGATTTGTGAGCTGGTTTCAACAAATTCCGATACTTGTCCGTAATTTGCATGGTAATTGCAAAGAACGTAGATAACAAGAAGCGACAACTCGTTATAATTGTAGCGAAAGTGTGCAACAGGGGCGTTACGTTCTTTGGTAATTGGATCTGAATTACCATCAAATGAGATAATTTGCTCTCAAAATTTTGTATGGCGAATTACGTAATTCGAAGGGTAATTGGAGTTCGAATTATGAATAAGAGAGCGAACTCCGTAATTGGGGTGTCATGGGAAAGCCACTAACTCTCTCTTGAAAATTTTGACAGAGATATGACGTCATAGGAGATTTTGTGTATTGCCTGTTTAATACACATATACATATACATATGCAAAACATATACACACTGATAGATCTCTCTCAGCTCTCTCCACCGGCAAATCTGCGATGACGACATATTCACGTTACTCTCCCGAATTTCACATCAATCAACCCAATTTTGTATTCTATCGGTCTTGGGATGCAGGTTTGGATTATCAAAGACACAAATCAAATTCGATAAAAAAATGGTTGAATTGCGCTTTAACTCCAAATAAAAGTGGTGTTTAAGGCGAGTTAAACGAAAACTATTTGTATGGCAAAGTCCGAGTTTATGAGTAGTGTTTATGTTAAGCTCTTGAGGTTTATTTTTTGCCAAATAGAATGGAGGATTCGTGTGGGGTTTGTGACAAAGCCTTCACAAGAAATGACTCTGCCATCGTACATTGCAGTGGGTTTTGTAAAAAGCGTTTTCACCGTTCGTGTCTTAAAGGCCAAATATCTGAATACGATATGAATCTTTTTAAAAAGAACCGGAATATTGTTTATCTGTGTAATGACTGTATGGACATGTCTGATTCGATGTTTTGATTCGATTATTATGGCTTTTAACCGGCCCTACTAGACAAACCTGACGGAAACTAATACACGCACACCAGTGAACTAACACAAATGCAAGTATGGACATATCAAGAATGATAGAATACAAGATTGCGCCGATCAGAGAGGATTTTTGAGAATAACTTTTGTGTGACGTCAGACTGGTGCAATTGCGAGAGAGAAATGCCAAAACGTGAGCAAGAATGGAAGAAGAAGAAAAAATGTTGCAAGGAAAACGTAAACAAGTTGCACAAGTGTGACGTCATGCAAACTACGATTCTGTCAAATTCGTTAAGAGAGGAATAGCGGTCCGAGATCGGCGCAACCTTTGTATTCTCTCAATCGTGTGGACATATATTAGTTCAATCCTGTGTACTAGCGAGAATGAAACCCCTCAAAATTTGAAAGAAAGAGATAGCAACAATGTACTACGACTGTTTTCAGCTAATTTCACAGAGTTGCATTTCATGCTGATTGAAAGTAGTTGCTACCTTCAAAATACCAAATATATCCGAGTACTATGTAAAGTGAACTATTTAAGATATTTATTTTAGAATTTTACCTTGGAAATAATTTTGCTTTGTATCGAAAATTGAAATAAAAAACTAATTAAATTGCATTTTTGTCTTGAGTATAAAAACTAGCACCACAAAAAATTAACAAAACCAAAAAAATAATACTTGGAAACCAAATTCGTTCATACCGAATACTTTTCAGAGCCAAATTTNAAACCAAATTCATTCATACCGAATACTTTTCAGAGCCAAATTTCTCATCACTAAAATTTTCGCAAAGCAACGCGCCCGCCATTTTGAAGTATTTATGTTAAATTTTACCAAATCGCCGAAGAATTTCGGAAAGTTTTGTGTTTTTTCCAATCAAATCCCAGGTGGAATATAGCTGAAAATAAGAAGATAATTATCTTAAATTGTGCATGGTATAAACAATTGTTTAAATAATATGAAAAAGCGGTATTTCCAGAATTGCGTGAGTAAGGAAAAAAGGATCTTTGAATCTGATGCGAAAAGATTTAGAGAACTTTTGGAATGTACTCAAGCAATGGAATGTGTAGCAAATGTTAATGTAATTGAATGTCCCTCCGTACTTATGCTTCCGAGTTCCCAAAAAGACTTAAGTGTTGGTGTCAGTGATAGTGAGGGTGAGGATAAATGTCCAAGTCCCCATAGGGAATTGACTGCTGATAGTGATAGCGAGCAGGAACAGTTCTATTTACACGAGAGTGAGGGCGAAGAAGCTGCAGAACTTAGTAAAGCTGACGAAATTAAGTTCTGGGCCATGAGAAATAATATATCCCGAATTGCCGTGGACGACCTTCTGCAAACATTGCATAGCCAAAACACTTATGGGAACCAGTAGAAAAAAGGTTTCTGTTATACAAATACCTAATGGCGAGTTTTTGTATTTAGGAGTTCAAACTTATTTCATGTCAGAGAGCTTAAATTTCTTAGCCAATAAGGAAGAAATTGTAATTGACATAGGTATTGATGGACTTAGGTTGTTCAAGAGCTCTAACCGAGTATTATGGCCAATTTTAGGATCTCTTTCGGATTTCCCGCATATTAGCCCCTTTGTCATTGGTTGCTTTTCTGGGTTAAGTAAACCCAAAAACATCAACGACTTCATGCGTGATTTTTGTACAGAGGCCAAATCACTTAAATAAAACGGAATTAAAGTGGGTTCCATGGCAGTTTTAAAACCATTTAATATTCGTGTTTTTATTTGCGATTGTCCAGCCAGGGCTTATGTAACAGGAGTAATAGGTCACAATGGAAAAAACGGATGTCCTAAGTGTAGCGCAGAAGGACTTTATAAGGAGAGAAGAGTTTGCTTTCCGAAAAAGGTTGGTCTACCCAGGTCAGATAAGTCCTTCGCAATGAGAGCCAGTACTTTTCATCACCTTACTCAGTTTAAGGAAACAAAAAGTGTTTTAGAGGAAGCGGGATTCGGCATGGTTTCCCAATTTCCACTCGATTCCATGCATTTGGTGGATTTAGGCGCAGTTAAGAAATTGCTGAAACTGTTTATTACGGGTAAAAAATGCAATATTAAAAGAATCAATGATAAACTTACTTTCGTCGCACAATTTGTTCCGTCTGAATTTGGTCGTCTTCCCAGGAGCTTAGATGAAGTTTCTAATTGGAAGCCAACTGAATTTAGACAGTTTTTGCTCTACACTGGAATATTGNTCTTCCCAGGAGCTTAGATGAAGTTTCTAATTGGAAGTCAACTGAATTTAGACAGTTTTTGCTCTACACTGGAGTATTTGTTTTAAAGGATTGTATAAGTGAAGATTCTTATTATCATTTCCTGTTATTACACAGTGCTATTAGACTTCTTTCTAGTGAAAAGTCCTGTAGAAGAGAGACCGGTATTGCCCGAAAAATGTTGCAAGATTTCGTTACTTTTTTTGGAACTTTATATGGCGATGAGAAAGTAAGTTTTAATATTCATGGGTTACTCCACTTGCCTGACTCTGTTGATGAATTAGGTCCATTAGACTCGTTTTCCGCGTACAAATATGAAAATTTCATGCAGCTTTTAAAAAAAAGTATTAAAAATCCTCATAATATACTCCAGCAATTGTTTCTGAGGATTCAAGAACGGCAAGGATCAGAAATGTATTTCAAAACTTTGAATGACTTTGGTTCATTCACTGGATGATAAAAAAGAGAAATACAGCTATTTTTTTGTGAGAAGAAAGGCCCAATCAAAGTTATAAAAGTCACAAAATCAGGAGAATCAGACAGAGTTCTGTGTAGATATTTTCAGAAAATCGAGAGCTTCTTTTTGGAACCTATTACTTCGTCTTCAGGTCTGTGAATAGTGGTTACAAGTGTTTTAGCCTCGGAAACGGTGGAAATATTAAGGAATGAAATTACTTATAAGTACTTTTGTATTCCTTTTAATGAAAAGTTTTTGCTCATAACCTTATTACACCATTTGTTTCACGACTTTTCCAATTTTGCTACACATTCAAATTAAATTAAATTTTTGCTACCATTTAATATGAATATAATATAATATATGAACCATAATAATAATATGTATGATATGATCCATGATAATAATATGAACCATGCACATGGATTCAAGCAATATTCTTGATGAGTCGTTTTGTGAGGAGTCTCCAGTCGAAAGTAAGTGGAATGTATGAAAAATGTTTCATCACATAATTCCATCGTTCTTTATTTTAGTGGGCCAATCCCTTATAAAGAAGAGGTGCTACGACACCAATGTTGAAGCGGCAGGTGTAAGCCAAGTTTGCTCTCCGAGTGATGGTAAGTGCCTATTGAAAAAACTATGTAAATAACACTTACGATTTTAGTATTAATTCTTGAAAATCATTAAAGATATTAACGCGAAGCTGGACACCAATGTTTAAGAAGAGGAAGCGGCAGGTGTAAGCCAAGTTTGCTCTCCGAGTGATGGTAAGTGCCTATTTTAAAAAACTATGTAACTAACACTTACGATTTTAATATTAATTCTTGAAAATCATTAAAGATATAAACGCGAAGCTGGACATCATTCTTAATAACCAAAAAGCCATATGGGATACTTTGCAGACAAGCATCAATAACGTAAGTCCTTGAAATACCTCACTCTTTACAAAAGCTGTATTAATACCAGGCTTGTTTTTTGGTTAGTTGGTTAGTTTTTTTGTATATTGTTTTTTTTTTTATAAAATACATACATACATACATATAAATACATATGTACATAAATATATACATATACATAATAAATGCATACATATGTATAAACAATATATATATTTTGTATATTTTTTTTATTTTAGCAAGCAAAGTTGTCAACAAATCAGGCGGAGCTGGAGAAGAAATTCATATCACTCCAAATGAATGTAAGTGTTGTTTTGTGAAAAATAAGAATTTATGAACATATGAGTACTCGATTTTGCAGGCAGTCGAAAACGCGGAATTTCTCGCTCTAGCGAAATCAGCACGCGAAATAACGGTATCGGTGCAAAATATAGAAAAGGAAGTTTGGCGTATGACGGGCGAAGCATGTGACAAAATTATGAATGAAATTGCCAGCATGTTGCCCTGCTCCGCATATACCCCGATCGAGGTATTAAAGGCCAAGGAGTATGTGAAAGCAATGGTAAGTAATAATAGCGAATTTAACTGATTTTATTAAAAACAACCCCCTTTCAATAGACCACATACTTGTACAAAGTCAAAGGCGTATCGGACGACGTTGGCGGTGTTTTCAAAAAGCTTTTCACCGATGAGTCCTTGGCTGAATTTAATTGGGAAGGGAGGTGGGAGAAGAAAGCCTTGAGAGAACTAACGTTATTTGAGCATGTTTTGCGCGGTAAACTAAAAAATAATAGTGTTAATAATGCATTCGTTTAAATACATTTCTTCCTTATTTAGACGTTTTCAATAAAATGACCTCCAAGGAGTTCGAGCACGCGGTTAAAAAGCAAGTGGAGCGGAGTCATCATCGTCTTCATCAAAAAAAATACGACTCCAAGAAAAGCGACAAAAAATAATGTATGTAAATAATTCATAATTACAATAATTAAATTACAATTAAATTATAATAATAATTACATAATTACATAATTAATACAGGTCCGAATTTCAAACTTTGTAGAAAAATTAGAAAAAATCAACAAAATGTTACAACAACAACAAACTTTTTATTAAGATTTCCTAGAAAAATTCTATGTATGCAGTTTTATAGCCTATTAAATTCTAGCTTAAGAAAGTGCAAGTTTCAAGTAGCCATAAACTCGCGTTGATTTTTGATAATTTTCTTAGCGGATGGTGTTATTATTTTCTGTCATACAAAATAGGCTATAAAATTGCATACCTAGAATTTTTCTAGAAAATCTTAATAAAAAGTTTGTTGTAACATTTTGTTGATTTTTTCTAATTTTTGAAATTCGGACCTGTATTGTTTTTGTTAGATAATGAGCTGTATTTCTAAAAAAAAATAATAAACAGTAAACAAACAATGGAAAAATAGCGAAAACTGGCCAACATGTCGTTTCGCATGACTGTAATTAATTAAAATATTGGTATGAACTTTTTTCTAAGGCTGAAATTTGAACTTATATGTGAAGTAATCAGCTATACTTTATTTAAAAAAATTTACATTAAATTAACTAAAGAAAAATGGCCAAAACTTGCAAAAATGTCGCGCCCAGTTTTCATTTGGTTTACTGTATATTTAAAATATGTATGAAAACCATAAAAAAGTAATAGAATAAGTAACACATTTTGAATTTTCGTCTATTTTTATTGTTTTGTAAATATGGTAACGTTAATAGAATAAGTAACAAATTTTGACTTTTCATCTAGTTTTTTAAACCTTTTTTTATACTTTTATGGCCTTATTCATAAAAAATAAAGTAGGTTTAAAAAGTTTTATAAATTGACGTTTTCATACATTTTTCAATTTATAAACTTTTTGTAAAGCAATTTTATTTTTTATGAATAAGGCTATTAGAATGGAAGTATACTGTCGTTTTCTTTCGAAATAAAGTTCTTTTACAGATGTGTGTAGTTATTTATAAGTTATTTAAATATTTTTGTATGTGAAAATACACAGAAATATGAAAAAAATTTAAAATAGTTTTTTTAATTCAGCAGGCCCGCTTTCTAAGCTGCAGATTATCTGATCTGATTGATTTATACATCAATCTGATGAATCAGACTTGACTACTTATTACATCAGTTATGATTAATCAGGGCTGATTGATTTATACATCAATTTGATTAATCATACGTGACTATTATTTACATCAGCTTTGATTGATCAGATCTGACTGATTTATACATCAGACTGAGTCATCAGATCTTAGTGAGTATTGTATCAGTTATGATGGTTAATACCTGACAAAATTGTCCATCAGCTCTTATTGGTAAGATCTGAGGAATGTTTCCATACGAGCTGAGTTGATTAAATAAGGCGAGTGAGTAGTGCAAACATATGGTGCTAATATTTACAAATACGGCTAAAACCCACATGTTAAAATGAGAGGCAAAATCACACCTACAGGAAAGAATCCATTAGATTTTTCAAAACCGCTGTAGAAACCTGATGTATAATCTGAGGGGTTAATACTCCAAGGCTGATACTTAGATGATTCATCAGTGATCACTCAGTTGTCCCGTAGGGGGGAATTCAATAAGTTACCTAAAGCTGAAATTAGTCGAGAACGCAGAACGTATACTTAAACGCAGTCTGTATACGCAGAATTTTTTCGATTACTGGAGCCCTCAGTGTTGCTTACTACACTGTTGCCACTCTTCAATGCCTTTTCATAAACTTACCCTTTCAACTACAATTTTTGGTGTTATAATAGATCGTAGCTAAATATAAACTACTTAGTTTTTAACAAAAAACCTTATTCAATAGTACATTTCAAATATTTTAAACGTATTTTGAATAGGAACTTATAACTTTTTTACCATCTGCAAAACTGACGAAGTGGCAACCATCTAAAGAAGGAGAAATCAGCTGACACGGAAAAATCTAAATTCCGCAGATTTCTGCGCTACGAACTACAACTACAGAAAAATTCTGCGGTGTTGAGTTTTCATTTACATGGCGCTTTGGTAAGACAGTTCGTGTCAGCTGACTCGGGTTTACGTACCGGTAGGTTTACCTTCTTGACTAATTTCAGCTTAAGCAAATTAAAGACATTAAAACTCAAATTGATAATATTAATAAATCAAAATATAACCCTGCCAACAACAACACCAAGGGTATAAACACCGATGTTAATGCTGCCAATCGCATTTTCGCAAATTCAACGAACTCTAGTGTCTGCCTAAGTGCATGTAATAACAACTCTTATGATCGTCCTCCTAATTTGCATGACTTAACTGTCGCTTCTGTTGTCTCGCCTTCTTACAATGCTTCACGGGCAAATTGTGACGTTGTTTGTTCGACAAATGTGCAAGTCGCAAACAACAGCAACTCTAATAACGTATCAAGTCCACAATTTCTGTCGACGCTGAAGCAGTTCTTGTATTAAACGAAGGCACTGGTGTAACTGAGAATCGTTCAAACAGTCAGAAAAATGCTAAGGCAAACGGAAGTGACAAAACGTGTGACATCGTTGTTGGTTCGAACGCTAATACCATGTCCCCACCGGAGCTAACCACGTAGTTATGGCTGTTGAGTTGGTTATCCCGATAGCACACTTCATTAAGCGTAGTTTCCCATATAAAATTGACAGCACTTAACCATTTCACTGAGATGGTTAAAAGCTAACCTACTCGAAACCACGTCGAAAGTCTGATACAACTCTGTGTTTTCCCGCCATGGACCCACATTAGCATTAAAATGTAAAAAAGTCGTTCCTTACTAGTGTTTGGACTTCACTAAATCAGATTAGACTTACTCTGGTTTTTGAAAAAATTTGAAATCTACTCCTCTACTCCGCTTGACTTCAAATCTATTCCGTTTTTTTTTTTTGCATCATGTTATGCCCCTCTTGGGCCGTTTTTGAGTGTTCACCACCGGTTTCAGTAAAAAAATTGAAAGTTAGCCAAAACTCACTGTTAAAAAGTAACTCTTTCAGGCATTGCGTCAATAAAGTACCTTCCACATTTTTTGATGTATGGCTGTAGAAATTGGCGGATGCAGAACTATACTTAAGTTGTTAAAAAATATATGTAGAATAAAATTTATATAAAGTAGAAAAGGTTTAGATCCTATTGCTCTTTAAAAAATTAAGTGTTATAAAGGTTCTACTCTATAGAAAATGCTAAATATTACCTAAATATTTAACATATTATCCTTACATTTCCTCGCGTTCTTATTTTTGCATGAATAGAAAATATTTAAGTCAAACAATTAATGTCAGAAACGAAAATAAAAAATTCAGTCTGGTAAAGAAAATTTGTTTTTACTCAGATTTTTAGTCCTGAATCTAGTTTGGGGTCCGAACACTGTTCTCTACATTTGTACTGCTTTATCATGATGCAATAATACAAGGTGTTATCAGTTGGCAACTTCTCGCTCTAATTCCGCCATATTGACTGCCTTACGTGAAACAGTGTTACTTCTTTAACTATTCTTTGCCCATTAATATAGTTGAATGTTTTTAATTTTTTCTCAGTATACACACTTTGTTTTCTTAAAAAGCTATTTTATCTTATTTTATTTCATTTCATAACGAATATACTATAAAAAAGCAAAATTTGTTTAGGAGAAAATGTGAAATTTTATATTTTTCCCCTATATGGGGATTCATTTCTTCCCGTTTTTCTTCTCATTCTACTGAGCTAAGTAGTGTCAAATCGAGCTGTCAAAACTGATACCACCTTGTATTATTGCATCATGCTGCTTTATAAACCTCAAATANGAATAAAATTTATATAAAGTAGAAAAGGTTTAGATCCTATTGCTCTTTAAAAAATTAAGTGTTATAAAGGTTCTACTCTATAGAAAATGCTAAATATTACCTAAATATTTAACATATTATCCTTACATTTCCTCGCGTTCTTATTTTTGCATGAATAGAAAATATTTAAGTCAAACAATTAATGTCAGAAACGAAAATAAAAAATTCAGTCTGGTAAAGAAAATTTGTTTTTACTCAGATTTTTAGTCCTGAATCTAGTTTGGGGTCCGAACACTGTTCTCTACATTTGTACTGCTTTATCATGATGCAATAATACAAGGTGTTATCAGTTGGCAACTTCTCGCTCTAATTCCGCCATATTGACTGCCTTACGTGAAACAGTGTTACTTCTTTAACTATTCTTTGCCCATTAATATAGTTGAATGTTTTTAATTTTTTCTCAGTATACACACTTTGTTTTCTTAAAAAGCTATTTTATCTTATTTTATTTCATTTCATAACGAATATACTATAAAAAAGCAAAATTTGTTTAGGAGAAAATGTGAAATTTTATATTTTTCCCCTATATGGGGATTCATTTCTTCCCGTTTTTCTTCTCATTCTACTGAGCTAAGTAGTGTCAAATCGAGCTGTCAAAACTGATACCACCTTGTATTATTGCATCATGCTGCTTTATAAACCTCAAATAGCAGTATGGACAGCAATAGTTAGTGATGTGGTTAAGTTCGATTTGAGATGGTTAACTTTTTGGTGGGGACATGTTATAACTGCGAACTTGATGTTGCTGTTCGCCTCAAATGATTTCACTTAAGCTCGTTCAAACCCTCCGTTGAAACTAAAGACATTTCCGCTTATATTAGGTTCATTCCTTATCTTTTTGGACTAAAATCTGAAAAGTGTCAAAATGCCAGAGCGTAAGCAAAATGCGCTCACTAAAAGAGAGTAACAGGAAAAGTAAAGGAACGCAAAAAACCAAATTTTTAGTCCAAAGAATGGCAACAACAAAACTAACGTCAAATAAGAACAGAAATGTATGTACAAAACACATTCACACAAGCACAAGCACAATAAACACTTGCTATATCAATTATTTTTTGCCTCCTTCCAATTTCAATTCATTTCTTTTACTTTTTAGATTATTCTCACTTTTTGCGTATTCTTTAATTTCCGTTAATTTAAATTCAGTTGAGTTTGACACTTT